TATCACCTGAGAACAGCAGTAGCTTGCTGTAACTAAGTGTTACTCGTGTTGTTTTTAATTGTTTTCGCTCTTCAATTGTGACTTTTCTTGCGTGTGAAGTAACGTATAAAATCTTGTTCATTTGTAAGTTATATATAAAATAAGTTGGCAACCAAAATTTACGATCTGGCGACCAAAATTTTTCCGTTAGTCGCCAGCTGGCTCCCAAACGAAAAAGTTAATTTCGAGCCCTGTTGGTAAGATAGCAATGACCCTTAGATAACTTCCCTTAGTACGCCTCCAATGCAATGGAACTTGTAGTTCAATGTGAGTGGTTTTTAAATAATATCATTCAAATATCACTACCATATATTCTCACAATATTGTCACCCTCTAAGTTGCATGATACACAAAACTAAATCAAAATAATCCCTTCAAATTTTGAAGCCAGTCTAAGCTGTTAAAGTATACAGCTGAATAAAATTTGATAATCAAGGTACTAGCTAGTTCATCTGTTCCAGATGGACATTTAAGCCTATAATTTAAGCTTAATCACAATCGTAAAGAATTCAGTCGACTCATACAGGACAACAAAACTGCGGATCTACATCAAACGCTTAAAAAATAGCCAAGTTAAAGTACAGGTCAGCTGGTTAGTACATCTAGTTTCGTAATGTATTACCAAATAATGCACGTAAAGTTCAATTTTTAGCTAAACAATTACTGTTCAACTGAACTTAAACAAGGACATTTCTAACTTTACCTGTCGTGACTGGAGTGATTTTACGGCGGAGATAAACTCCGATGTTCTGTCTCTACATGTCGTCATATCTACTGCTGCTAAGTTGAAGCTGTTTTCACTTGAAAACTCCACTCGAGTTTGATCACTGTCTTCACCGCTCGACCGTGTTCGGCGGCGTCGAGTGATCATGGGGACACTACATGGGTGAGTGTTTAACCCTCATTTCTCCTCTAACACCTTCCCATATTGTGATACTTTTATGAAATAAAAGTCCTAGCTTCAGTTGAGAGTACTATATGTGTTAAAGGGAGCTAGGGTGAAGAAAAAACAAGCAAAATTGTGACACAAATTTCAACTCTTCTTCCCGGCTCAGACAGGAAAGACTCACTGAAATGGTGACGTAGAACTTAGGGAATAACCGCTGAACATTAGATCGCGGGCCACACAGTCGGCCTTTGACAGATCTTTCTTCCAAGAACTTGAAAACTGACCCCTCTTCCTACGGATCTTATGGCACGTCAGGTCCACGAAACGCCAATATTATGATTATTGCACCCTTAAACGGTCTTTTTCCGCCTTTGGATGCTTTGAAAACTGCTTTGGATTTGTTATGATGGAAGAGAGTGAAATGAACTTCATAGTTACACCATCTACAGCTTTCCACGATCACGCAAGTGTTGGCCCAACAAACTATGACAAATCAATCCGCAGTTATACAATTAACTTCACCACTCCGGCGGATATTCTGCCTCCTATCTCACACCTTGCGCAGCTTGTGTTAGCCAGTGTCTTCACAGTGTTGTACGCTGTCTTATTCCTATTGATTTTAGTGCAACTTTATCTCATCTTGTACTTCAAGCACCGTCGATTGTCGTATCAGAGTGTTTTCTTGTTTATCTACCTGTTTTGGGCCGCGCTTAGAACTACACTCTTTTCCTTTTATTTCAACGATACTAGTCCGTTGCAAGCGAAGAACCAGAAGAACATCGGTTCTTTAGCAAGATGGCTTCTCTTTGCACTGCCGATCTGCCTTCAATTTCTCACTTTGTCGCTGCTAACTCTATACTTGGCGAAGGTAGGAGCGAAAACATATATAAGCTTAAATTTAAGGGTTAACCATTTAAAATTGAAGATATCAAATGTTGCATTCTTTCATTAACTACAGACCAAGCTTTCGCAACGACTTTGTGACTTTGCAGGCAAGTAGAGTGTTAAGCCTATAGCATTTTTTTTTCATTCCAATTTATATTCCTGTGCATTTCCGCCTTTCGCTGGTCACGTGAGAGAAGTTCAACATAGTCAGGTCTTACTTGACTACGATTGGAGAGGTTGTAATCCTGGAGGGTCGAGTTTTGATGATATTTAGATGAGCCTACGTTAATTTTCTAAAAGGCATTTTACCTGTAGTAATATTTTCTTTACCTTCATGTAGTAATTAATTTTAAAATGCAAATTAGACTCATCTGGTTTTCCATGACATTCTGTTTACAGTTGATGTGGAACTATATACACTTAATTACTAGTCTCGAGGGAAACAGTTTTGTTTTCTTGAAGATCTTGATGTTCAAGATGGAAGGGAAAACAGAACTAACTGTTTCCCAAAGGACCAGTAATTAAGTGTTTTGTTATATCGCTGGAGTTCATGGTGTAAGGTAATAAGTCAAGGAAAAGTTAAAGTAACCTGTGGTTAGTGCAAGAGTGGACAACAATTCCATAATGATTGCCCACTGGGGTGACATTTATATTTAGCTGTTGCCACACGACCATAAATCAGTGAATAAGTGTTTGTGTTACATTCAACTCAACTCCATCTATACAACGAGAGCACTTATTTAATGAGCAGCTGGGTTCTAGCAAATGTTATTAAGGTTACTAGGGCAAGCATGACATCTTAAGACTTGGTGAAATATTTTGCTGATCATGTTTTAGTCTTATGGTGATTTTTGAGATTAAATGCACACAATGTCTTGAATTTTTGTCCTGCGAATGTAAATGTATTCCTGGCTGTCACTTACCTTGCTTGTCTTGTCGCTTGAGACAATAGGGACAGCCAAGTGACAGCCAAGCAACAGCCCAGGGACAGCCAAGCGGCAGCCAAGCGACAGCCAGAGAAACATCTTCGTTCACAGGCGAATTTTACAAGGTTAAATACAACTTTTTTTCAAAGAAAACTATTTTAATATGGGGAGGGAGGGATGGTGAGTGTTTTTAGATTATTAATATGTTGCCAGACCATGAGTCATCCTCGGGTAACCAGGGGCAGATAGTCAGGACGAAGCTATTTTTTGGGCGATACAATATTTTCCAATGAAAGTTTACATCAGAGCGGGAGAGCCCCGCTCTTCTGCTCGTGATGTAAACTTTTGCCTGAAAATATTGCTTGGCCATGAGTTAGATGGGTATCCTTAGCTATTTCTTTGCCATGCCTTTGGTTAAACTTTTCTTTTGTTCTCTTGGTTATATTTTAAATCCCAGGTCGTGTTAAAAACCAGAAGAATTTCTTTTGACCCAATAACATTTAGGTAAGAAAATATCTATGCAGTATGCACACTTATGTTTTGAGGTGCAATATCATGAGATCTTTTATTTAGGGAGATATTGGACTCTGGTCAGATTTAGATTTTTTTGTTGTAAACTGGCAGAAAAAAGAACAACACTAATATATGTATTGACTAAACAAGCTACAGCTGTGGTCCAGGTATTATTCTATACATTTAATGGATCTATTCAAAACTTTGCTGATGAATAAATGCTTAGACTATCCCCCACTATCCATAATGTATTCTTGGGACTGTATTAAATAATTATGCCAAAATTACATGTTGGCATTATAGATGTTAAGTTTTCAGTTCACCTTTGTGAAAATCAAAGCATTTTGCCAAAACTATAGTGTATAAATTAGTGAGCAGTCTGTCTTGGATATTCATACAGACTGACAACTCAAACCAAACCTTACTGTACATGTTTATCCCTTGGATTTGTTTTTTCTGTAATTCCACGCAGATATTTTAAACTCTTGACTTCTCAAGCCAGTTTGAAGTACAGTAAAGTCATGAATTTGCCCTGACTTCTCAGCATATATTAATTAATAATATTTTGCTAATAGAAAACGTTTATAAATTAGTATTCAGAATAAATTTTATTGCTGTACTTGTAGTTAATTTCTAAATTCTGTCTCTGTGTTGTTCTTGTCAGGAAATATATTGGACAGGTGTACTCACAGTTACATGTACATGTAATTTCTAAATTAGTTGTTTGCATTCTTCTTGTCAGGAAATATGTTGTTGGATCATTTGCCATGGTAAACATAGTTTTCTTTGCAATCAATATGACAAGCTCATTTGTTTGCCCTGAACAAGATGCTCATGAGAAATTGGTGATATTGAGAGTGGTTGTAAATGGACTGCTGTTTGTTGTTGTCGGGATTGTTCTCTGTTTCTGCATCATCAAGGTACATGTATGTTAAGGCTGGTCTTTCCTTAAGGCTGCCGCACACTAGCCGATTTTTTGTCGGCCGACAAAAAATCTTCACTTGTCGGCTAGTGTGTGGTGAATTCAGACAAGTCTGTGACAAGCTCAGGGCTTGTCGGGCGATATCTGACAGTGCTAGATCTCAAAATGTCTTGTTGGGCCTTGTTGGCTAGTTTGCGGTGGACCAAGACAATTTGTCAGGGCTCGAGCGCACCTCAACCAATTAGGAAATGTTGCGAGAGTCACGTCGGTGGAATAGCTGCCATCTTGATTTTGGATGACTCGGCCCCAAGCCTCAGTTGAAGTGGTTAGCCGCAACAAAAAATTGGCTTGTGTGCGGCAAGCTGATGGCCCAACAAATTTTAACCCAGGCACTGGACAAATTGACCGATTGTGACCATGTTTTTGCCCTGGTTTGACAATCTGGAGGAAAGTTTTTTTTATAAAGTAGAAGATGTTCAGTTCACAATGTTTTGCCTGCCTGTGAAAACCAGTTGCCCCTCCTGCTCAAAACGTTAATGAAAAACCCTGGCCCTCTTCTCTTCTTGTCTTTTCCTTCTTGTCTTTGCTTTGTTTATTTTTATGTTTTGTCTCCTATCCTCTTATTCCTTTTGTCTCATCTTGTCTTGCCTCATCTGCTCTCTTCAGTTTTTTTTTCTTAGATTGGTTTCAGAAGAAATTACATTCCATAAAATTTAACTACTTAACCTTTTCCTACATGTAATAACCTGTTTTCAATATCACATTATTTTTTAGCAGCTGATGTAGTTATTAACAGGCCCGTTGCAGCTGGGGTCATGTGACCTAATTTTTCCTCAAAAAAATCTATATTATGGGCTGTAACTTAAAGAAATGCCAGAAATGTAAAAAGCATATCGGAAATACCAAAATGATCAAGTTTGAGGTCCCTAGCATTTAGGAGTAAGTTTATAAGGAAAATTTAGAGAATTTGTAGGGAAAATGGTGCTGTAGAGCAAGGCCTTGCTCTCCAACAACTTTTTCCATACAAATCTTCTTAGTCTTTTGAAAATTCAGACTGTCAAAATCTCATTCTTTAATGACGGTGGCTTTAAACTTGACCGTTTTGATGTTTTAGACATGCTTTTTCTATTTCTGGCATTCATTGAGTCATAGCCCATAATTTTATGAAAAGTAGGTCACGTGATGGCTTAGCTGCGAAGGGCCTGTTGCATGCTTTGTACTTTACTGAAAGTGTCACCTGCATGAGTGAATGATTACAGTTGTACATGTATGTACTTGATCAAATGATTGAAACCTAAGTGTGGGTTTGATGTTCTTCTTGCAGATCACAAGAGCTCCATCTCCAACTGTTCTATTGGAGGGACAGGTACAATTACAATAATTGTCATTTGACTCATTTTCTCCTTGTTTCTTGATCCTACGGCTTCTCTTTTACCTGGGTCTCAGAGGACAATGAGAGGATGTCAGAGGCCTACAGTGTACAGTATGCTCTTCCTGAATGCACTACAGGCACCCTTTGATATACTGGTATCTTGACTGATGTTCAAGTTGTTTGTTAGAAAATAATTGGGAGAGGGACTTGTTGTGACGACGATTTTTTTTTTCACATTGTCAGGAGATTTTTCAGGGATGGGGGTTGTGCAAAGGAGGTTTTTATGTGTATTTTAGAAGCTTAAGGTGACAGTGTGAATTTTCTCAGGGAGCTACAACAAAGCAAGGGATAGTGCTGTGTGTGCTGGTCGTCCTGTTGTATGTGTCACGAGTGATATACAACCTGATTGCTGTCACTGTGCCTCACGACTTATCTTCGTTTGGATATGGCTGGATAAATGTCTCTGATGAGGTCAGTATTGGTGGAGTGATGCCATAAATTATCAGTCTACAGATACATGTACAGTAAGCAGGAATAAAATTATGTAACTATGCGCTGCATGTAGCAGGGAGGAATTGTTTTAACGTCGTATACATGTAATTAAAATTGTACTTGTAAGCAATTCAAAATAGAGATGTGGAAATTGAATCATAACAATTGATTTTTTTTTAGTAATGATAACAGTAAGAAGTTACAAAGTAACTTAAATTCAGAGTTACATTTTGTCGTGCATTAAACTATGACTGCTGTGTAGAAAGTTGGGTATTAACTGACTTACAGAACAGTAAACTGAACCAATAACAAATCATAATTAAAGCGTGCATTAAACCTGTGGCACGCTAAACTACAAAGAAAGTCACAAACTACAATGTAGCCATATACCAATACATCTAAATGTACTTGTTGACTTTTGGTATTTGACCTAATTGACAGCTAGCGGGTTACAGAATGCTATGTTGAATAAATTTTGCATTATTTAGCAAAATTGGAATGTTCACAAAATGACACCATATCAAAGCAGATAGCTGAACTCTGTAAAATATTCTGACAGAGATGTCACTCTAAGCTGGGATGTTATAAATCTTTAACTGTACAAACTGGTACACAATTTTCCAGTAATAATTTAAGTTAACTTTGAACCTTAAAAGTAATGACAAGTTTTGTAGTTGGGCCTTACAAATTCTGTTAGTTTTTTATACATTGAAGACAACTTCCCACCTGTAAGTTACATGTAGATTTGTAGTATATGAAATACAGGAGATAGTGTTTCATCACACTTCCAAACACTAAGAATGGTTTAGAAGAGATGTGGTAAAAACCAACTCAAGGTGTTTGGAAATGCGATCAAACACTGCCTTGAGTCTGTTGGACATGTATGCATGCAGGTGTTAGTTCTCAATTGAAACTAATTCAAAGGGTTCAATTAAGATCCAAAATCCATGCCAATGCCATGGTTTGTTCAAACTTGATGAATTTGTAATGCATTGAGAAAATGATGTCTAACTACAAACAGATACATGTATAGTAGTGTGAGCACAGCCTGGATATCTTTTGAAGTTGTCTCTCGCTTGCAGTTCATATGCACATAACATTCTGATAGGGATATTGCAGACTACAGTAATATGAATGAAGGTAATGTCAACTGATTGTGACTGTGTTGAGAACATCTTGATATAACACTGACTGATCTGTTGTTGATATATTTCAGGGGGAAATTAAATACAAGGAGTCCGCCGACAAAAAATCCCTTCATAGTGATATCCGCGATGTGGAATTCATTACCTTTGGTATTGTGCTGATTGTATGGGAAGTTCTCCCTACCTTTATGTTTGTATGGTTTTTCCGCGTAAGAAGACCGAATGTTGGAGACATGGTAAGCAAAGTGATTATTGCCAAGGGGATAAATGGAGGAGATTTCGTAAGCTAAGGACTATAATTTGCCATGATGTGTCACCAGATTCTTAGTACATCTGTAGACTGACCTTTGAAAAGGACTGAGTTTTTTGTATTGGGGACTGGTAGTACGCTCACTAAATGAGTTGAAATTCAAAAGTACAATACTAACTACTTACAGTTGGACCTCGCTAATTCGAACTCAGCTATTTCGAATTCTCCGTAATTTCAACTTCTGTTGGAATTGCTCTTCAGTCATTTATCATTGGTTATTTCGAACTCCCGCTATTTTGAACTAGTTTTCGTTTTCCCTGAGTGTTTAAAAGCAAGGTCAATATGATAGCGCTGAGGTTTGAGGTTTCCCATAAAGACTGAACATTCGAGACCTGTTAAAAAGTAGTTTATTATATGGCTTACTATAAACTGTTTTTTAATTACCTTTTACCGCTAGCCATTTTTGTGTTTCTACGAGTATGGCTGCCGGAGTTCCGCTATAAATTCATGAACTTGTACAATCATTGACAATTGTATTTGCATACCGAATCTTGCTATGTCACACTTTCAATAGACTTTTATAAGAATCATAGGAAGTTATCACAAGAGCTTAATGTGCTTTTTAATTCCATGTCATTTCACCAGGGCCCATCTGCTATAGCATCACAGAGTTATGACAAGAAATCCTATTTTTTCGACAATCCACGAAGATATGACTCAGATGAGGATCTGACAAATCCACAAGGACAAACAAGGGGGTGATTAATTCATACCTTCTCTTAACTTGACAAATTGTACTGTTTAAGAAAGTACCGTGTTTCTATCGAGTTATAGAGAGAGAAGTGGAAGTTTGGGAGAACTAGAAAAGCTGTGGGAACATGAGCCGATAGGCGAGTTTATCCACAGCTTTTTCGAGTTCACCCACAGTTCTCCCAAGTAAGCTTTATACATTTGTTTAAATTTTTTGGTTTTAGAGAACCACCACCCTGAGGAAATTACAATCCCTTCTGGGGGGGAAGTATGGATATTTTCTGGAACTGTACAATCTAGCCCAGCACTAGTATAGGGCTGTCCCTTGGGAAGACAGTGAAACAGTGTACACTGTATATTCATCTAACGCCCAGCTTATTTTGTTTTGCAGTAGTAATTACAATATTCCAGGAGTGTTAAGTCCTTCTGCCTCGAGTGTGAACGTCAACAAATCAAGATCTTATGGCTCCATCTCGGGCATGCGCAGTGGCAGTTTCCAGAGAAGTAACAGCTATTCGAATATATATATTCCGGGAACCACACCTCCTCAACTTTCGGCGGGGTCTGGCTACCGCCCGAACACCTTAGTTGAGCAAAACGAGGGATAATGAGTGACATACAACATGGAACTCTCTAAGCAACGGACAGAGTTCCTTTTAGATATATACCCTGTGTGGAAAATGGGGCCCCTTTCTTATACCTCCCTCACCCCGTGCGTGACGATTGTCGTCAGAAGTTCATTTTTTTTCCGCTTGAGAGACATCCGAAATTCGCTCCCCAAAAAAGTAGTCATCGTAGACGCTGCCTTATACAGGCTTGCTCAGTCAGTAGAGAGCTCCAGATGAGCCAGGTTATAATCGTGATAATTCCTTTTATTATAATGTTATTATGCCGTCAGAGGTAAACGATATTGATACTATTTCGCTCAGTTATATGACTATTGGCCGACTCTTGAATGCTGTCAGAACAGCATTTTACTTGAATTTAATCGCATCGTTTCCCTCACTGACATTAGGGAGGTACATGTACACTCAGACACTGAGGGACAGGTTGCCCCCAGATGAGTTAAAATAGACGAAATCGGCTCGACGAAAGTTTACCATAACGCCATGTTTCTTGGCGCTGATTTCACACATTTTAATTTCACGTCTCCCCGGTTATTTTCTTTGGAGTTCCTAGGATGTTTACTACAGGGATTGCTTTGCACTCGCTGAAAAGCTGACATTGGAATTGTTCACAATTGAATCGCGATTAAAAGGCGTGAACATTGGTTTATATCAACCGATTTGTTGAAAAACATAACTTACAATTAACAGAACAGCTCTGGACTTTGGTTACTGAAAAGATACTAAATCATGTTAAACTACAACTCGAACTGGGCGTAATGTAAGTAAGCTCTTCCCAATGGCCAAGAATAGTGTGTTCCCTTTAGTAGGAGGGTGTCAGCTCTATGTCCCTTCTGAGGCCTTTTGGGCGGAGCGAAACCCTAACATTATTGAAGTTTGTGTTTGGTGGTTTTTAGCCCTCCAGGCCCTTCCCATGTACACTCGTTTAGGTTTAGTAGTTAATGTTCATTTTATTAGTCACATCTATGATATGATACACACCACACATAAAGATACATTCTTACAGCTGTTTTCCACTTTGCACTCAGCGTAAGAAAGAGTAGAGAGCTTAAGCAAACCACGACGGCAAAGGCAACGAGAACGTCACCAAACAAAAGGTTTAATGAGCAGAACAATGGCTGTGCACGTGCGTTACAAATCTTTGTACATTTCTTTGCCGTCCTCTGCAAAACAACAACGGGAAATGACAACGTTCTGATAAAATATAACATCATTTTTTGCTAGGCGTTGTCCGGGCGTCGCCGTCGTCATTGCTTAAGTTCTCTATTTATGTATTATTTTAAAATACATGTACTCTTTGACGATGATAAATGCACTCTGCTAATGTGCGTCGTCTTTGAACTCCCTTTGACCTTGTGATGCAGCAGTGCTTTTCATCACGTAATTGTTTAGCAAGTGACTTATTTTGAGGGCACTTACTCCATAGACCATCCTCAAATAGTACTTCAAAAAATTTCTAATGTAAGAATCCTAGATTGCATTGTAATATTGCTGTAATCATTGCACAACAAAATATTTCTGTCTACTTATGTCGCTGCGGCTGACTGGGCTCAGTTGGGCAAGATTCATTTGAATTTCCTTGACTGTATGACTGGTATAAGTACTCAAATGATTTCGAGTGTAATTTGTAATAATTAAGCAGAAGTAAACTTCTCAAAGACTAAAAAAGTTACGCTTGCTCGTAGGGTGAGTACAATTTAGTCTTCGAAAAATTTACAAGTCGGAGTGATTATTTTTATTCCAGATTGCTCGAGAATAATCGTTTAATTGTTAAGAATATACATGCAATTTAATGTATACTTTCTGCACTTAATTTCAAATTTTTGCACTCAATTTCAACTTTTTGCACTGTTCGGGATTCATGGACGTGCTCTCAGCCAATCAGCATGTTGAAATGTTCGCATGCATGTTATTAGCCTAATAATACACATGAAAAAATTACTCGATTCTGATTGGCTAAGAGCAGTGCAGTTCAAGTGTAACACCAGTGCAAAAAGTGTAACATCAGTGCAAAANTTTGAAAAACTCACTCGTGCAAATTAATTCCAAATTGAACTCGAAACCGTATGATTACCTATACTAATAATTATAAAGCTGAACATCAAACCACTCGTCGGAAATTTCTCCAGTCTGTAACCAGTTTTAATCGAAGGGCGCGACAGAAATATTTTGGTATTCCAATTGACGCAGTGTGTAAAATATATCTAAAATATCAAGCCTTATAACTACTTAGTCGTAGGTGACATGCAAATAATGAAAGTAAAAGATATGGATATTTTTAATCATTGTAAAGAGAGAAAATTTTATGTAGAAAGAAATTGAGATATCTATCAGTGAATTGGTTTGGTTTGATGTTCTTTCAGTATAGGTGGTTTGACGAGCCTTCACTGTGCGATATCAAAACCTAAAAGGTTAAGTTTATTGCACGCTGCGCCTGTGTCGGTGGCCTCTCAGAATCAAACCCTGCTCGAAGTCTGATAGATTTATCCTTAGTGCGGAAGTGTTCATATGAACGCTCTGTGATGGCTGACATTCTGAGTTACTGAGTAGAAGCTCCACAGTTACGTTGTGCAAGGTGGTGTTAAAGCCAGGATGAAACTTCCGGATGAAATTTGCCAAGAAGCCTGCATACAGACTTCCCAGGGGGTCTCTTATTTCCGTTTTCAGGCTCGATTTCCGCCGATCTCTCGAGTCCATTCTTACTAGCACGGGCTACGTTCCCGAACAGTGGGTGGTAATCGATTCCTTTAAGTGGTATCTTTCAGGGGTGAACTAAAGCTCGAGCCACGCGCAGATTGTTCTCCTTTAGGGGTATAATTCAAATTGTCCAACGATCTTTTCATATGGGAGCCTTCCCCCCCNAAAAAAGTCACTTTTTAAAATAACTGAGCAGAACTCTGATGTGGTATTCTTCCTGTACAAGGACGTACTATCTTTAAGCCTGTGGTTGAAATCCTAGTTCACGATCTTTTTCAAAGCAGTAATTTCGCGTGCTGTCATAGTGCTGCATATATAGTACAAAGTGGTGTCATCCAATATTTACATGTAAATTTCTCGGTAGTCAACGGGACGTAAAACGTAAAGATTAATCAATAGCTCGTCCCCCCCCCCAACAACAACAACAACAACAACAGCAACAGAGAAAAGAGCTGTGCACGTAAAGGTCAGCCGAGAGAGCACTGGATTCTACTGCTTAGGCGACAGGGCGCCTTGGAACTGTTTCGTGTAGGGGTTCATCTCTGTGCCGCTTTCCGCTGTTTACGGTGCATTTGGTAGTGCAAAAACTCAATAATTAGTACTTTTCTTTTCGCTTCCTCCTACCTAACAACAACTAATCCAAAACATAGAGGAGCCGGTCGATCCTTTTGGTTCTATTTTTCAGCTGTGCTGTGTTAGATTCCTTTGCACGCTCTTTCCGCTTTTTTACTTTTCTTTTTATCTTTATCATTTTACTTATGACATCAAAATCAATGCAGGCTCGTTTTCCTACTTGAAGGCCACTTGATGTTGAGATTGCTCCCGTTTCTTTAGGGCTATCAGTGGTTTGAAGAACATTGTTTGCCGACAAATTGATCTTTTTCAGCCACTCACTAACTTCATCAAAACTGATTATTCTCTCCTTCCGTTTCTCGCTTTCCGCGTGAGTTGTGTGGCAGGCGTGCCCAACAGGAACGACCTCTTCTGACTCTCCAGCGAGGGGCAATGTTTCTGTATTGTCAGTCGTTTCCTCGCTGTTTACTGTTTCCTTGCTTGGCATGTCTGAAAGGCGAGGAGACGAGAGTGAAGCGGTGGATAAATTGCTTGAGGTGATGCTGAGATGTCTTGCGTACACGCCGCTGCCAAAGTGAACCATGCGGACATCACCGCTGTCTAAGAAAGCCGGCATTTCATCTCGGATGACAATTGGAGCACACTGTGTGTCGAATGAGCTAGAATCTAATGAATTCCTGGATTTTGCTGGCTTTGCTTCCCTATCTGTTAAAAACGAACTGTCAATAAGTCCTGGAGGCTCACTTCTCTCGTCAAATGAATGTCTTGAAGCTGATAGCCTTGTATACCTATCTAAACTTGATGTTACATCTAGCGACAACGAGCTTTGGAATGGTTCTGAAGTCTCGTTTTGCCAATTTACTTCTGAAGTTTTCACACCCATATCGACTTTTACTGAAATTTTCAGCTCTTCACTTTCGTCAGCACTTAGCTGTGTAACTGAATCTAACGCTTCCTGCCTTATGTTTCCTTTGGACGTTTCGTTTTCCTCGTTTACAGAAGAAGAGTCTCCTTGTTTCTCTTTACGTATGCCAATAAATTTAAGAAACTTGGAAAGCAATAGATTAGCCACTTCCATGTCCTCACTATTTTCGTCTGAACTGGTGGAGTCTGAGTGTGCGTCATTTAAAATTGCCACAAACAAGTTAATGAGAATTGCCATCGTAATGAAAAGGAGACTTTGGACATAAAGCCTGAAAAATATAATGCGGGTATTTTCCAGTTTAGAACGCAACACAGAGTCTCCTAGACACATGAGAAATTGCGAGGCAATAGTTCGGTGTATTGTAGAAAACATGTAAACATTCTTGCCAAAGAGGAGAAATCCTGCATGCCCGTATGCGGTAAAGATAACGCAGAACACGACTGCATAGCTTAAGGTGGGTTTCAAGGACTTCCGAACCACTTGGAACAGCACTATGATGTGGCTGTTGAATTTGAGTAGCCTTAGAAGACGTAGCGTTACAATTGTGACTGCGATGCAGATTACGTAGTTTTCGATCTCCAACCAGAGCAATGCGTCGTGAAAGCTGACAGACACGAACGGGTTTGCCACAAGTTTCTGCAGCACTTGCACTGTCTGTCTCTCCCTTTCAATGGAAATGGCCAAGACCAGGACTGCGCTAACAATCTGAAGCATTTCAAGCCAGTTCCATATCGATTTGAAGTAAGCACATTTCAGACGGTAAAGTCTGATGCCCTCGGTTACCAAGTAATACCCAAGAACGAAGGCAAATAACAATATATTGGCCATGTACATTTCATTAAAAGCTGAATCTGATTTCGCCATCGGAATCACCGGGATTCGCATAGAAGTTTCCAAAAGGCCAGACGGGAGCATCTCAAAATATAAAGTTACATCCACAAGCAGCTTAGTGGCTACATTAAACTTTGAAAATTCGGCCAAGATAGCTCTAGTCTGACGATCTATCCATCCATTATTGACCAGATCTTTCAAAATTCGACGAGCCGTAGAATCGTCGTATCCAAGATTAGCCACGTAACCACCACCACTGTAGAGAGAATGTACGCCTCGGCTTTTATGGATACCGGTATCATCTTCAGTACTGTATATCCAGTTTTCGGGACACGAAATACTTAACCAGTTAAGGGACGTCTTATTTGATAATGCGCTCCATGAACCCAATTTATCCTCTTTATCTTGACAGTAAAAGTCGTAACAAGATGAAATAATATTCTTAAAAACATCGGGCACATCACAAGAATCTGCATAAAATTTAAAAAACAAAACAAAACAAAAAAAACTTACAACAATTATCGGTGAGTTCAAACATAAGTCAGTTGGCGGCAAATAACCTATAGAAGAAAACGCTTGATCGCTTTCAATTTGGTAGAGTAATTAGCCTTTCATCTAAAAAAAAACAAATCATCCCATCTTAAATTATATGTCAAATTATTCTCGCATTTTTATTTGTTCTTACATATGATCTCTTGAAGGAGAGACGCATATATAGATGACGTCCTCAATAGTTTTCTTTGTTTCTTTATATAAAAGAATTAGATTTTAAGTCTCCTTGCGCCAGTTCAGTAATAGATCAGAGAAGACGTCAAAATGTGGTGAAAACATACCTCATTTTGACGTCATCTGTGATATTTTACTGAACAGACGCAGGGAGATATAGAATCTATTTGTTAAACACGCACTGTAGTAATACAGCAACACTTACAGTACATTTCTGTCTATGTAACACTGACTAGTTTAGAAGTGCGAAACAATGTCAAACTATACTTCGTTACCTTTCATAACCCTAAGCTGTCTCAAACGTGGTATGCCAACTAAAATGGACCTCTTGTTTCCTGTGTATTCGGTCGTTGTTTCCCTCTGCCCATTGTACCACTTACCAGCATACACCACGGGAATGAAAACGTCGTCAAGCCATGTCCAGAGCTGTGACGTGTTCTTGACCTGTGAAATGTTATACAGTCGTACCTTTCAACATGTTGAATGGCTACTTGGGGCCAGAGGAAAGTGGCCTTTGTAGAGTGGTGGCCGTCATGGGAAGATAGGGGTGTAACATGACACCTGTTTTGTTGTTGTTGTTCTTTTTTTTTTTCTTTTTNCGGGGGGGGGGGGCAACATTTCGTTTCTTAAAAGAAATGCTTGTTTTAGCATATAAATACAATTCACAATTTCAATGTATCGTTTAGATAGAAAGCAAACAGACAGAGAAAACTGATGGGGGTTTGTATACATCGTTCGTCAGTCTTAAACTACACACGTTGTCGAGAGGTTATAGGGAACCTAAGAACGACGACGTCGTGACTGTGTTAAAACTCTTACATTCCTCTCCTACTTCCTCCTTACTTCTCTCTTACCTTATTAAACTTTGTAAAAGAGTTTCGCGTGGTTTCAGCAATGTGATGTCTTTGTTTACTCTTATCTCCATAACAGACAAACATGAGAAGGAGAAGGAAGAAGCAAGCAAATAGCATATCTCTTGCAAATATGTTCGTTTTCCTTTCAAGAACTCTGTATTTCCTTTGTTGCTCGATATCATTCTTAGAGATGTCAAACATTGTTTCAGGATGATCAGATTGGACCCTTTTCCCGTTTTCCGCGAGGTCGCCGGCACGGTTTCCTTTACTTTTACATCTCAGAGCCAGAATAACTGCTAAAACAACGATTTTCAAGGGCTGAGAAACAAATATATCCTCAGTCGTACTCAAGAAGATGGAAGACAACCATCGTTCCGATTTCTCTCTTCCCCATTGAAGAGAATAAAGAATCGTAAAAACCGAAGCTAGCAGTGAACCAACAATACAAACAAACCAGGCGACATAGATGCAAAAATGAGGCAGCTGGAACTGTTTTCTGCCATGATCGTCATAGCAAGCATCCCGGTCAATGGTTATTCCTAGACGCTGACTCTTGCGAAATAAGAATACAACGAAAAAAGTAGTCGGGAAGGCGACCAATGCAGTGGTAACAGAAACCGAAAGCTCTCTGGCTGTCACTTTGAGAGGCCCGACGTGAATAGCTGGCGTTTCATCGCTATTTTCGAAGTAGAAAATTGCAGACACAATCATTATCCATAGCAGAAAGAAGCAACAGCACGTTAGTCGTTGGACGCGAGTAAACAAATCCCTTGCCTCTTTTGTAGCTATTGAGAACCACAGATGGTAGTTTGCAAGACCGTACGTCCGCGCGTTACTGAACTCGGTTTTAAAGTCAGAGGATCTCTTGACGCTTGAGGAGTGGAGCTCCAATGTCGTGCTCCCGTCTTCTAGTTCTAGGCCCAACCAACGATAACAGGGGAATTTCCATCTAGAATTTGCCTGAATATCTGTGATAGAAATCTCGTTCAGAAACCAGGATGGGTCTTCGCCGGAATTATCATGACCAACCCGGATCTTAACTAGAGACCCAATTGGCTGATCGACAGTGAAAAGAAAGTTGTCTGAATTACCTCGACTAAAGAGCTTCCTGCTTTCATCCCGGTTACATGAAAACTCAATAACACCGCTAGAGGCGTCAGTTCCGTAAAGAATCATGCATACTCTGGCAGAAGTACCCGAGTTTCGCCATGCTCCAGTACTGATAGATGCTTTGTATTGGTAGAGGGAGTCCTTTGATGATAGTAAAGGCGTAATGACACCTACCTAAAATATAACAACAGTTATCATGAAAGATCAATAGCAGTAAGTGGTGCAATGATGTCTTTTGTGCTATATTAAGTAGACCTAGGGGAAGGTCAGCCCAATCTGCGCTGGCCAGAAAATACTGTAGTTTCGGGCAGAGTCGGAATGCACACTATTGCGGCATATGATGCGGCACATGAGGGATTGAATTGTATGGCACACGCGTATATTGTTCTTGCAGATTAGTTTTAGCAACGTACCTTTTCAAGATCTCGCTTGTCGGCCCTCCGTGCGAAGATTACAGCGATGAAATAAATAAGAAACACAACTGCCACTGCCACAATAACGGGGACATCCCCCGGGTCATTAACGCTCTTAAATCCTAGTTGCACCTGATCGAAGTCTATTGTGTTGGGCGTCACCAGAAAGTAACCACCAAAAGATGTTAGGTGATTACAAAGACATTGCACGGTGGACGGGGTGGAATTGGTACCAGGCTGAAAAGAGAAGCAACAAAAGAATTGAGTAATTGAAGACGTATTTTATATCGTCATGATCACTGTGCTTGTCTTCATTGGTATCACTCTTGTGAGTCATTAAGGGCCGGTCAGCGTCAAATTGACGGACTGTGGGGACGATTTTGCCCACCTGGTTTGGCCATCTAGAGGACAGGTTTTCTCATAAAGAGTTTCAGCTAGTTCTTAAAAGTTTTACGGCGCTTGGCTGAAAACATTATTGAAACCCGTGACTATCTGTCTGACGGTGACCAAAACATGCGTAGGAACAATACACTGAACTCAGTACATGAAAGTAGACTACAAGTACCTCAAATTAGGGTGGATCTCTGCAACTGCAGCATCATGCAGATTGGGCCACTGATGGTGTTAGTAACTAATAAGACTGTCCATCAAACAATACTTATTATGACTGCCGCAGAGTGATCAAAAAAGCATTTACCAAAAACTTGCTTTTCATCTTTTGCAGCAGACAGTTGCTTCGAGCATGATGAGAACGTTATTTTCCATAGCGCAATTCCCTGACTCTGTCGACACTTCAAAACAAAATTAAATTTAAATTGCCGCGATAAGGTACTAAATTCTATTCCCTGCTTTCCCTCTACTGTATAATTTTTCCTTTGTCTTTGCCCTGACCAGTTGCACCCATTTACCACCTTCAACGAAAATATCTGATGACTAAACGCTTTTCGTGAAATTATTTCATCTACTTGTACTTACTTTGCATCCTTCACTCATCCACTGCTCTTCAGTCTCGGACCAAAACAGGCATCCAGTTGAGTCGACCTCCAACGTAAAATTCACGGATGTTTCTGGGTCGTATGGAGCGTTTTTAACCGTCACGTTGACCACCGGTTGTGGCGTTGGGGGATCCTTGAGCTTCACGCATAACTTTTCATCTTGATTATCTAACTGGGAAAGGGATCTTGACCTCCATTTTATGGGGGCATTCAGTGCTAAGACGTTAAGAGATTCGCTTTTCGAGGCAGATCTTCGTTCCCTTGATTTCGTCGTTTGGATTAGCCCAATAAAATATTTTCCAATGCGTTCAGCATCAAACCATACTTGGGTGCTGACATTGCAAATCTCTTCCCCATTGTGGCAAGTTTCTTCATCTATAGTGGCAAAGTAATCATAATCTTCCTTTGTTGGCCTTGCGCCGTACTTTACGTACACTTCAAATGGTGCAGACCTTTCAAGTTTGAACGACAGCTGGACTAAACTATTTCCACAATTCTCGGTAAAGACTCGATGCAACATAACATCAGGGACTGAGTACTCCTCAACTGGTGTTGTTCTGTTCTCAGTATTCTTCAAAGGAATTGTCAATGATATGGCCGAGTGCAGGTTTGAGATATTGATTACCTTCCCGTTTTCATCCTTTAGGGTCACGCTAAGCACTTTTGAGTTGATATCATCAAGGGGTTGCTGGCCTAAAATATGAGGGTTGATGTTGTAGCTGATCATCTACAAAAGAGGGGACACGAAATGTTGCAAACATTTACAACCTGATCTTTTGAAATAATTATTCAGAACTTAATTCAAGCGATTTTTCTGTACAGCGGAATTCGAATTTCTCGAATCCTCGATTTTTTTGAAATTTTCTACCATAATTTGATCCAAAATCTTTTTTTTTTCCAGTGTGGCATTACCTCAAATATCTCGAGCTCTAAATCTCTCGAGCCAATCGTAAGTTTCTTTTCCTTTTGAGGAACTGCAATCGGCAATACAACTGCATAACATATAGTTCGCTCCAGTAGAACTAGGTTTGTGTCCCTTTCAGACTGCACTTACACCCATACCTCAATTTCAACTTTATTCTCGTATGCATCTTCGTCACCACAAAAGTGCACGCGGCAGCCAACGAATCCCGCTCGTTTCTTTCTGGCATAATAGGTTGCCACTTCAAAGGGTGGCATCTATTCTTTGTGGTTAAAAAAAAGCGCGAGGTGCATAGTGCATACCCTTAAAATTACCACTGAAAGCCCCATGAAGTTGACATTCACGCAGACATTAAATAAAGATGGTACCAGGTCAAATAAATATTATTCACTTCACTCAAACACTTTAAGAGACTATATCTTAATACTCCCAATACTGAACAGCACGTCACTAGTTTTGGTAGTTAAATTCACACATTACCTGAACGTGTACATTAGTAGCTTCACCAAAGACTGTTTGTGTCATATCCTCGCTGAGCTCAGGGAAGATAAAATGAAAATCTTCATCTCTCACTTGCAGACTACTCATTTCATGAAGCTCGTGTTTTCCCAACAATAAAGACTGATGTTTTGTTTTCACTGAACTGTATTCCTCCCCAGTCAGTTTTAACGATAGAGCAGCATCCGATATGACGTCATTAAGTTTAAGAGCATACAGTTGCAACTTTTTTATCTGCAAGGAAAAGCAACAGCAATGGCATGCTAAAGAGCAATGGGGTTTAATTATGACACGCACATTAATTGACAAGCGGGTCATTCCTATTGATGTAATTTCAGCTCGGCTAGAGGTGTTCTCCACAAGTAAGTTTCTCTGGGACAATCTGGCCATTTGGGTTCTGTGCTCTTCTACTAACAATTGCTGACCTGAATTCTCGACCTCTTACGAGTAGCACCAAGGAAACGCTTACCTTTATTCGCTCCGATTCACCCCTGGAAACTCTCTGAGTTATGGCGTGAAGAATGTTCCCTGAGCTGTGTAACAACTCGTTCCATGCATGCCTTTCAAGATAACGGTCTTTTCCGCCTCCACCGTGAATTCTCTTTTTTACTACTGACACCCATTCGTGAAGAACATCCAAAGCAATCTCCTAAGATAGAAAAACAAAAAGGACAAGTATTCATACGGAGTCAATCCAAACTACGACGGTCTCTGCGCTCTTGCCCTTTTCCCAGAGTAGCGGCCAGTCAACACCAAACTAACCCACTATTCGAATTTCTTCTTATTACTTAATATTACACAGACAAGTAAAAACGATAACGATATAATGATCGACGTTTCGGCGACCTCATGACGCCATTATAATTATTATAATACAGAACTCTGCATGCACGAGAGAGGGGTAAAAAGTGGTCCAAATTACGCCTTCTTGTTGGATGGCTTCGCAGAATGTCAAATATTGCAACAGAACAATGGCTTTATCTCTCAGCCTTTCTTAGCTTATTTATGAAAGATCGACGACGTGGCTGGAGCACACGCTGTTCAAAAGGAGTCCTCGATAAAATTGGTATAGTGCGTTCCCTATTTCAATATCCACCAGCTTTACAATATATATGAGCTTATATGGATTACTGACCAAGCACGAGGTCATGATGGGATCGAGGATACTTGCCAAGTTCTTTTCTGCGTTTAATGGACCGAGACGGAGCTAAGGTAATGCCTTGTAATCCCAAGCGGGCAATATAGCGTCCTCCTTCTCGAGTAGCCGATCACGGCAGCACAGGGTTTGGTTCATTTTGCCTGCTCACGGCGCTAGCCGTAACATAAACTGAAATCACCACCGAGGAAGGAGATCTTAATTTGTACATCTTTTATCTTTTACTATCAGGCTCGGTTTTTGATGTTTTATAACTAAAATACAAATGTGCCTGAAGGGACTACAACAAAAATGCTGATGGTACGCGAAGGATCTGTAAAAGATCTGATCAGCTAACAATAGAAATAAACGGTAATAAAGCACGGCTGATGCCCAAAGTAGAAAATTTAACACGACAAAAGCATGATAGAGGCCAAACTGAAAGCCTGGTTAGGTATCGTCAGCACGGTGCAGATACAGCAGGAACGACCTAAGGTGAAATTGAAATCCAAATGTTTGCAGATTGGTTAACGTCACATGTACAAAGTGTGAATCCGCGAAAATTTGGATTTGAGTTTCATCTCAGGTCATTACTATGTGCATTTAGTAGACAATTAGTCCTCGCACTCGTTCCTCTATTTTCTTGCTGCTCAGACCGAGCCGACGAGACCCAACTTGGTGAAACAACTGTTCATGATTGCCTTCTTGGCCTTTAGTTTTAACCCTATCGTGCCGTAGTATCAGCCTTGCTTCACTGGAATTCTAATTAAATTTAAAACTTATCTTTGATTGCCTTGTCAAATCAGTCAACGGCTTAAACTCACCAAAGACAACAGTAGATTAAATGGAACCTTTGTAGTACCTAACTCAAGCCCTCCTTACAATTTTATGCATTACCTACATGTACAACTTCAGCTAAACCACACTTTCAAAGCTATCTGGTCAGGAAACTAATTTTTTTCGAAGAACAGGATGAAATAGAGAAGAAGTATGATCAATACGCAGATAATTACCATACTGCTGAGCAAAAGATGTTCTGGTATTGAAGTCGTCACTTTCAACACCGACGACAGAAGAAGAATGCTCTGTACGTCGGCTGCATTGGATCTTGGTATCTCTTGAATTATGTAATACTTCAGCTGCAAGGTAATCAACAAAAGTTTACAACAATTATTTTTCCATTCTTTGCGAGAATACGTAGAGAGTTAAAGTATCTACGCTCATGTGCAAACACACAAAACACATAAATGAAGTTAAAACTCCCGATTAAACGATTAACACATTTTGCTTAGTTTTGAGGATCGGTCAGTAAGCTGGGGCAATAGCTTCTTAATTTTTCTAAGTTCTTTGTTCAGTCCATATCTTTTTCATAGTTTTGAGAACCAATTAGCATGGGCATTTGCTTCTTTCGTTCATGTTAGATAAAGTGGTATCTGGAAGCAGTTAGTAAGGGCAACTACTTCTGATGTTTTCACTTCCTAGTGCTTCACAGCTACCCATGGGTGGGGGAGCATTTGTGAGTTCATCATAATGCTTGTGGCGTTTGTGTTGCCCTCACCGTTACTGGGTCACTTAATCTATCAATCTTTTGGAACTGAAATTTGACACATATAAATACGGTTATGAGCCTGTGCTCATAGCCACATTAGTCCAATCAGTACTTGCTGTCTTGTTTATCACCCAGTAAACATAGCGCAGGCCAGGCAGCTTGTGGGTAGCTTTGTGACGGGTTAAAGAAGAAAGACATAAACGAGTGTTTCTTACATCTTTGGCACGAAGTGGTGTTATCCAATAGAAACTCTCCATGTTCATAGCCTCTGCCAGAACAAGCCCTATCTGCCACGCGTCGTACAGTTTTCTTTGAATCAAATATTTATCAAACATATCCTCAGAGTGTTCAAAAACCGAAAGTCCGTCGCCAGCGTCACTCAGCCACAATGGTTGTACAACCTGTCGAGGGAGAAATTTATCAACAGCCTCAGTCAATTGAAAAAGTTATTTTATCGAGACGGAATGCTAGTCCATTTTTCTTTACCTTTTTGGCATTTTGTCGTTACAGTGTCAGCATTATCGTGCAGATCGGTGGGAATATAAGCCAGTGAGAAAATAAGTCGCTTTGTCCAAAGTTACAACACAAGGAGAGTAGCCTATTGGGAATGTACAGACCCTTTGATACTTTGTCGTTGCCAAATCGTCGAGGATCCTCAAATTTGATACATGTCGAAGGGAACTTGTTTTTATTATCTTTTTACGTGTGAATAGATGTCTTAAAGTCCAAAAAGGCATTCATCTACATATGAACTTTAACTAACCTGAACTACGATGTGCGTTTCAGTCCTCGCTCCTAAAGAGTTTATAATGACGACGTTTATTTTAATCTCACCATTATCAAACTGGGGAATATGAACTTCACCAAAAGGCATTATGCCATACCGCAACATGTGCAAACTTCCGTCGTCTGTTTGTTGGAAAAACTCGTACGCAAGAGGCTTGTTTTCGTCGTACCATCCTGTGCAGTCAATATATAGGGTAATTCCAAACGCTCCTTTCTCCACCTGGTTACCGTTACACACTCCACCAGACGGCGTGGCCGCCGTTTTGAACCTGTACGCTGCCCAGCCGCGCAACCCATCTGGCAGATGGACATCAACGGTGAGCCAATAAGAGGAATCTTCTTGCAGCTTGTCTTCTTTGAAAACGATATTCTTGGAATTCGGCTTAGTAGAGACCAGGCTTTTCAATGTTTCGTTGAGATACCAAACCGTGACAGACTCATTGCTTTGTAATCCCTCTGAGTACAATTTCCATTTGAAGGTGATGTGTTTAGAATGGCAAACATTACATGTGACTTTTAAAGAGAATCGGTGGCTGGGTATCACCATCTGATAACAGTTTTTGATGCACCTGCAAAGGAAATGCACGTCAGAATATTGGACATCAATTAAATAAAGTGCATGTCTCAAGAGAAACAAGTATCTACAAGTGGCGATATTGGCCAGGCAGGCTTTGACGTTGTTACATGGTTATACACATTGCTCAGCCGAGTAGGCCGGTAGGATATCGTTTCATCTGGTCAACTTAGGACCTCTGCACTTTTATGTAACTCGCAGTTCTGGAAACGCTTTTGTAAAACAGGGTAACCCACATGGGTGTTACTAGAATTTCTATTTGTCGCACAGCTTTCATTAGTTACCACTTAGCTATACCGTTGCGCCCATTTGCCTTGTCCAGGGAGATATGACGCAGTGGCCAGTGATCGAGCATACAATACCAGAGGAATTTTCAAATTAAACGACTGGAAAGCAGGCCAGGGTCTTGGAATCAGGCTTTTGTCGATGGATGTAAACCTTCTGACAAAACTTCCTTTTTACATCTTATGTGACACAGTACTGTAAAGTAATCGAAATGTAATGTTTTTCACTGCCAGTACCTGATTGCAACGCGTAAAACATCATGATCTGCGACATATAGAGTCCTAAGAACCTCAGACTGCCGTTGAT